TCTCTTGTAAGGTGGGAATACTTGGTAAAGCTTCTGGTTTCCACAATCTTGGCTTTGAAGGATGAGTGTGACGTTTAAAAGGCAGGAAAGATAATCCAGGCAGAGAAAGGGATCCATGGAGAGCACAAGGCCCTGCCCTGGAGGGAGGCAAGCAGTTAGGTGTGAGTGCTTGAGTGCAGCACAGAATTTTTGTACCAGGATGGAGAGTGAGGAAGCATTAGTAAAAGCTTGAGCCAGAATATAGGTTATTTCAATGCCAGGTGAATGACCTTGACTCTCTTGAGCACTGAGGGTCCCATAGATGATTTTGAAGTTGGGAGTGAGGCACTTTTAGAATGTTGTTTAAAGAGGCTTCATCTGGCGGCAAGTGGCTTGTCCTGGAGGCAGGTGATGAGGGTCTAAATTGTGTGGTGTGAGGAATGGAAAGGAGAGAGAATATAGACTAGCCAGAAGCTGAGAGGACTGGAGCTTGGAGGAATAGTGGTACCATTTTGAACATGATTCTTGCAAGGCTGATCCTCGGTATTTTTGAGTTATCTGAGTTTCTTTTGGTGTTTACTATCCTTGCTGAAATGAATTAAAATCTGGCTTAGAAAACTTCTGATGGCACCTGTGAGGGCTCTTCAAAGAAGTCTGTAGAAAATACATATTGTCTTTTTTATTTCTTTTGAGAGACAAAGACAAGGCACAGTGCTCCCACCTACTGGTTCATTCCCCTAGTATTGACAACTGTGCAGGCTGGATCAGGTGGAAGCTGGAAGCTGGGACTTACTTGGTCCAGTTCTCCTGTGTGGGTGCCAGGGACCCAGCCACTTGAGCCATCACCTACTGAGGCATTATCATAAAGCAAGTCCAAGTGGGGCTGGGACATGAACCCGGATACAGGATGTGGGTGTCCCAATTGATGGCTTAACCCTTAGGCCAAACACCTGCTTGACATTATTACTAACTTTATTTTTGAAGTACTGTTGTGTGATTTGTATATATAGTTTTAGGAGAATTCATGGACCACCTGAAGATTAAACCATTCAGATGAGCTGGAGGGGGGCTCTCTGAATTATTGGGAGGTTTTTTAGATAAACAGAAACTTCAGATTCTTCAAGGCCTAAAAGACTATGTATAAACCTAGAGACTGGTGTTATGCTTGCATTGTGACTGACAGTTTACAGAGGTTTTCTACTATATCCTGTTATACCGTAGACCAGGCATTTAAATGACTTGCCTTCAAGAGCAGTTAGCAAGTGAGTAAAATGGAATCAGGAGTTGGATCACAAAGTTTTCTTTCTTGTGTCGACTTGGTATGGCGAATTTGCCATTCATTGGCTATAGTTATTGCTATAACTTAAGACCTCATCAGTAAAGGTTGGTTGACTGTTAGAGATTATTCTAGCTCTAAGCATTTTGTGGTTCTTATGTCTTAGGTTTTCATTGTAACATCTGTAGCCCAATTTTCAGTGTGCTTGCGAGCTGAATTCATTAATGAATGGGTGGGGGGAGAGCAGGTAGCATTGACATGTTATTTTGATCATTTTTTAAAAAGATTTATTTATTTTTATTGGAAAGTCAGATTTTTACAGAGTGAAGGAGAGACAGGGAGAAAGAGCTTCCCTCCACTGATTCACGCTCCCAGGTGGCCACAATACCCAGAACTGAGCTGATCTGAACCCAGGAGCCAGGAGCTTCTTCCAGGTCCCCCACGTGGGTGCAGGGTCCCCATGTGGGTACATCCATCCTCTACTGCTCACCCAGACTACAAGCAGGGAGCTGGAAGGGAAGTGGAGCAGCCAGGGCATGACCTGGTGCCCTTATGGGAGCCCAGACATGCAAAGTGAGGACTTCAGCCACTAAGCCACCGTGCTGTGCCCTTTCACTATTATTTTGATATTTCTCAGTTTGGGAAAGTGAAAGAGAAGAGGGAGATAATGTAAAAGAAACAGGAAACTTTTTTTAAAGATTTATTTGTTTTTTTTACAAAGTTAGATATACAGAGGAAGATCTTGCATCTGATGATTCACTCCCCAGGTGACTGCAACAGCTGGCGTTGTGCCGATCTGAAGCCAGGAACCTCCACCAGGTCTCCCATATGGGTGTAGGGTCCCAAGGCTTTGGGCCATCCTCGACTGCTTTCCCAGGCCACAGGCAGGGAGCTGGATGGGAAGTGGAGCTGCCGGGATTAGAACTGGTGCCCATATGGGATCCCCGCCTGTTCAAGGCGAGGACTTTAGCCGCTAGGCCACGCTGCCGGACCCCAAGAAACAAGAAACTTTTAAGAACTTCTCAATCTTTTCTGCTCATATGTGCCTTTCTTAGGGCTTTCTTTCAGGAAGCCCTACTCAATTGAAAATGGAAATTTTACAGAACAAATGAAATGAGAATTCCTATTTAGTGACCGTTGAAAGAGAATTCAACAGCTGTATGTTAACGTTAAAATGTAGTTTTGATTTTTTTTCAACGTGTATTTTTTTTATTGGAAAGTAAAATTTACAGAGAGAAGGAGAGACACAGAGGAAGAGCCTCCATCCCCTGGTTCACCCCACGAGTGATCAAAGCAGCCGGTGCTGAGCTGATCTGAAACCGAGAGTTTAGAGTTTCCTCTGGGTCTTCCTCATGGGGTGACAGGGTCCCCAGACTTTATTTGGGCTGTGCTTGACTGCTTTCCTAGGCCAAAAAAGCAGGAAGCTGGATGGGAAGTGGAGCAGCTGGAACAAGAACCAGCCCATAGGGGATCCCAGTGCATGCAAAGCTAAGCGACCACGCTGGGCTCTAAAATGTAGTTTGATAAGTGAAGAGTTGGCTTTTCTGCCACGGTGAGATTGTTTCTCTGCTAGGAGACCATGGCACGTTGTGTTTAGTTCTAGAAACTTTGAATCTCTAGTTGTTGGAAAGATTGATCTTTTGTCTGACAAAAACACACGCACACGAGCTTCATTCTTTGTTGGCATTATCAGCATTTTCTTCATTACCGTAGCATTGTGTGTATTTTCATAATGGCTATATGTATTTCATAGTGGCTTTCTGTACTTTATCCTTTGGTCCTCAAGGAACGTGAGAATTAGGTACGTCAGGAGATGATCATTTTTTGTTTGTTTGTTTTAAGATTTTTTATTTGTTTTTTATTGGTTTTTAGATGAAAACACAGAGGCTGGAAACAAGTTTAGAAAACTTAAATTTCCAGGGAATATGACTAGTTTGAAGCCAAAATTAGAACTAGAACTAGATTAATATTTTTTTATTTGTAGGTCAGTGTTTTCCCACTAAGCTTCTATTCTTATGTATGATGGAAAGTTAGTTTAAAGCAGCATGTGAAGAATTTCCCTTTACTTCTTCTGAATGTGTTAAAGCTTTTCTATTGCATAAATCCAAACTTGTTCTTCCTTTTGTGCGTCAGTGACAACCTGACTTCAGCTGCTGTTGCTTTTGAAATTTATAAGTCATTTTATCATAAAAAAGCCCACTCTCAAGGATAAAATATATAAGTTGATTGCCTTTTTTGGTCTTTAAAATAATGGAGGTGAAATGTAGGTATCAATTTCCTTTTGAATATTTGTTGATTTTAATTAAAATACAGTTTTTTTTTTTTTTTTTAAAGATTTTTATTTTTATTATTTTTTTTTTCATTGGAAAGGCGGATATACAGAGAGGAGAGACAGAGAGGAAGATCTTCCGTCCGATGATTCACTCCCCAAGTGAGCGCAACGGGCCGATACTATGCCGATCCGAAGCCAGGAGCCTCTTCTGGGTCTCCCACGCGGGCGCAGGGTCCCAAAGCTTTGGGCCGTCCTCTGCTGCTTTCCCAGGCCACAGGCAGGGAGCTGGAAGGGAAGCGGGGCTGCCGGGATTAGAACCGGCGCCCATATGGGATCCCGGGCGTGCAAGGCGAGGACCTTTAACCACTTGCGCCACCGCGCCGGGCCCTAAAATACAGTTTTTACAGATGGAGTTTGTTCCTATGTTGATAATAGTCTCATCCTTGAAAATTAGTATGTTTGGAGCATATAAATCAAACTGATTTCAAGTTGTTTTTTTTTACAATTTTATAACAAGTTTGACCATTGGAAAAAAAATAAAACCATTAAAACCTCTTGATGTACACTTCAAATTCTTGCGTTTGGGGGGGGGGAGGTAGGAGATGTATTATGTAAAATTATATGCCAGTTTCTTCTAAATTACAAGACAGACTAGGATGTTGATGTTTCTTAAAGCTGCTATTCTCTCACGACACATACTAGTGTACTTACCACATGCCTGCTAGATGTGCTTGGTGCTAAGTGCAATTTGGAGATGACCAATACGAAGATGTCTTTGGAACTTTGAGTTTAATAGAGCCTCTTATTAAGCAGAGATTTTTATCTGCTGATATTGTATGAATTTGGGAGAGATCATACCCCTCCTTTCTCTGAGATTTGAACAAAATATGCAAACCCACGAGGAACCAGGTCAGCATTCCTTTTCAGTTATCAGTTGTTACTATAAGTATCCTTGAAACAGATTTGAAATATTTCGTTGCGTTGTGCTTTGGTGGGCTGGACTTGCTTGGGAGGTTCTGATGGTTTTGCTGGTGAGTGCTCTGACAGCTGTATTCAGCTGAGAGAGGCAGGGCGGTGCCAGCTCTGTCTTTTTCCTTAACGCTCTTCAGCCCTTTTTGTAGTCTTGTCAACTCAAGAGGGCTTTGCAGGGCCCGGCGCTGTGGCCTAGTGGCTAAAGTCCTTGCCTTGAACATGCTGGGATCCTATATGGGTGCCGGTTCTAATTCCTGCAGCTCCACTTCCCATCCAGCTCCCTGCTTGTGGCCTGTGAGAGCAGTCGAGGATGGCCCAAAGCCTTGGGACCCTGCACCTGTGTGGGAGACCTGGAGGAGGTTCCTGGCTCCTGGCTTTGGATTGGTGCAGCACTGGCCATTGTGGTTACTTGGGGAGTGAATCATCCGTTGGAAGATCTTCCTCTCTGTCTCTCCACCTACTTTATATCTGAATTTGCAATAAAGATTAAAAATCTTAGAAAAATTTTAAAAAAAGAGGGCTTGGCAGAAAGGTTTCTAGCTTTACCTGTTAGCTAAACCAGGCCTTCATGAAGGTTAGACTTGGGACAAGTGTAGCAGCAGTTTCGTCTCCTTCGGGTGTTTAGAACAAACCACAGATCTCGCCAAGTTTATGAGTCCGTTGGGAGCCATCGCTGTAACAAAGTACCCATAGCCTTAATTGTGGCATTGGCTTTGGAGGCTCCTGGAAGAGAACGGCCTTGGCGGCTGAGACTGCTCCCTGCTCTCCCACCCAGGTCTGGACTTACCAGTGGGAAAGCGGAGTCTGGACTGCATTTGGCGTATTACACAGGTGAAAACAGTGCTCTCTGGTTAAAGATTCTGAAGGTCTGTGGTTTGCCCTAGCATGCGACCGTCATTGGGGGTAATGAGTTGTAAAAGTGCAGATCCCCGAACTTGGGCTGCTTCAAATCAGCCTGACCTGATCTCACGGATTGGTTCAAAGAGCAGTTTGGGCAGAGAATGAGCCACAGGTGGGTGGAGACCCATTTCCTCAGTCCTTATTGGTGGCTCTGAGACCTGGAGCTGGTTTTCTTGGCCAGTTAGTCTGGCCTGGAGCAGCCTGGAGCAGCCTCTGCCTCACAGATGTCTGTTCGCCAGGTAGAGCTGGGACAAGCCACTCTTGGGGGGCCTCCTTGTCTTGGCCTTCTAGATTCCGGGGCCGAAGGCCTGTCTCACGGAAACGTGAAGAGAAACTTCCCTTCCGAAAAGTAGTAGCTGGCTGGAGTTTTCTCACTTTCTGATTTTTATCTTATTACCCCTGTATGTTAGTCTTCCTGTCTTTTTCATTCAACTCTTCTACGAAGTAATGTCATGGTTAACTTCTGAGTAGAATATTGAATTGATACATCCCATTAAAAGCAATTAGGTCATTAGTGTATAGCTGACACTTAAAAACAGGCCCGTGCCTCCTTTGCAGATTTCTCAGGAAAGTACTTTGGCTGTCCTGGAGCAGCAGGTGGCTATTGAATGCAGTGAGAAATATGCTTTAGAGAAGCAGAAGTGGCTACTGTGCGAAGAAGGGATACACAGAATTATCTTAGGATGTTTCTTGACAGCTCTTCTTGCCATGTATTATTTAAGTAGTTAACAATGCCCTGTAATCAACAGAAATGTGGGTACAATAACTTTTTCTTTAGTTGAGGGAAACAAATTCTTTTGAATACTATTCAGAGTACCCATAATTACCATTAAATGAGGTGGAAGGGAGGAAAGCAAACTCCAGTGTTGGTGGATACTGTGACCTTATGACCCTCAGCATGCCGGGATATGTTGTATGTTGAGTTAGGGTGTGAAGAAGAAATAGTTAAATGGATATGATCATAATAAACCAGGATTTTTTTTTTCTTTTTTACCTTAGGGGTAAACAAGCTATAGCGATTTTCCTCTTAAAGTTTTTGATAGAGTCACCCTTGGCATATGAACTAAAAGAGCCATTGTAAAGTTTGGTACATCTGACTTGTATCGGAGTCCTTTAAGACCAGTGTGTCTCCATTTTTTTTTTTTTCTCCCTTCTGTGGAATGTAAAGACTTTCTTCCTTGCTGGGTTTTTGTAAGGACTAACTTAAATACTGTTTATAAAACAGGAAGCTGGGGTGGCTACAACAAAATAAACCCTTAAGTCATTTATTGCTCTTAATTGTTGTTATAAAGTTGAAGTTCAAGTAAGTAGTCACGTAATTTGTTGGGGAGGCATCATGGCCACTTGGGATCTATGTCTTGTATCAGAATATTGATTCAAATTCAGCCACTCTGCTTCGGATCCATCGTCCTGCTGACGTGAGCTTGGGGGCAGACGGTCACAGGTCAGGCGTCTGGGGCGCTGAATCCCAGGGTTTGGGTTTAGTCTGGCCCCACCCTGGGTATGGCAGGGTGGCAACAAACCAGGAGATGGATGGCCTCTTTCTGTTCCTCCCTCTTTGTTCTGCTTAATTTCTAAATAACCTAGATTAAAAACAAAATAGAAAGTAAGTTCCTAAGCAGTTAACAATGAACCTGCGGAAGGAGATCACTGGCTGGCAGTGGGTAGACTGGGAATGGTTTGGCTCTGTGCCCTGTATGGAATAAATGATTAAAGCCTTGTTAGAGGAAATAAGGCATAGACTAGTGTCAAAGTGCAGTTCTTACATCACAGTCAACAAGAGCATGTTTCAAATACATACATGTTTGAATATCCCTTGATATCTGTGATTTGATCCCTGAGAGTGAAACTCTGCAATCTCCATTTTTAATACATATCTGAGATGATTTTATACAAGTTAATAAGTGCTTATTAGAACCTATTCTGTACTTTTGGGCCTTGTGTGCTGTATCAGAAACCCACCTTCCATCTCAGGTATTCCTGAATTACACATATGTAATGCAAACATAAAAAGACTTAGCATCTGACCCTAGCAGATGTTTTAAAAGGCTTAAGATAATTGCTAAGGTCTTAGACCAAGCTACAGAAGCCTGATGGAGGGACAGAAATGTTAGTGTAGTGGTTGTAACAGCCACCCCTCGGTGCGGCCAAGCCTCCTATCAAGTGCTTGAGATCCAGTCCTATTTCCACTTCACGTCGTCTGACTTGCTGCTGTCGCACACACTAGCCGGCCTCAGGTCACCACCCAAGTAGCTGAGTTCCTGTCACCCACATGGGTGACCTCAGTGGAGTTCCTGGCTCCTGGTTTTGCCCTGACTCAGCCCTGTCCCTTGTAGCCATTTAGGGAATAAACCTGTCGATGGAAGGTGGCAAGTCTCTGGCTGTCTCTTTCTCTCTCCAAATAAATAAAAGTAAAGAAGAAAGAATAGCATCCCCTTGGGAAAGTGAAGGCAAGCTGATACAGGGTGTTTACAGTGGAAATAAGACCCAGCAGGCTTCCTGGTTCAAAATCTTCACCCATTCTTCAGAAAAAAAAAAAATTGCTTTAGAGGTAGTCATTTCTTTTTCTTTCTTTTTTTTTTTTTAAATGCCCACTGAGAGAGCTTTTACTTATGATTGTCAAATAGTTTGATTGCTTTTCATTTAGCTAAGAGAGGTGATTCAAAAAGAGATTTTGAGTAAAGTATTTGAAATTTGGAATCTGGTCTTTGGGTAGAAAGTACCTTGGGTGGGGATATGATCTTTCTTTTTGGAAAGCCATTGCTTAGTGTAAGGGCATTGACTTAGGAAGAAAATCGGGAGAAAAGGTTTAAATTTTAAATGGGAAAAAAAACCCGCTTCAAACTAATCTTTAACATGCTTAAGAGGGTGGTGGTGATACCTGTATGGGACCCTTATGGTGACAAATAGGACCCTCAAATCCTGTCACATCTGTCATGTGAGGAGTGGATCTTTAAAAAACAAACCAAAAAAAACCAAATTTAGGGTGAATATAGTTGCACTAAATATTGGCTACCATATTCGTACATTCTGTGGTTAGAAAGAGAGCTGTTGAATGCCTGACTCTAAATCTGAATGCCAAGGATTCGTTTCTGTTTGAGGAGCCCATTGTCTTTTTTGGGTAAAAACAATGGACCATCTCTTTGTTCTGTGACCTGTGAAATATGCTGTTGATGTTTAGATGTAAATGTTGAGAATGCAAGATAGATATACTTCAGAATTTCTTCTTTGGAAGGTAAATATTTTCATGAGGATGGCTTACTTTGAAACTTTCTTTGTAATGGAAGTTTTTTCTTGTATTGTCTCACTATCTTAGGGATTAATAAAGAGGAACAAACTTACATTTCAGATCCTGTACTCAGTTGTTGGGTGAGAGATGGTGGTGAAGTTAACCTGAAACTAAATCCTAGTTTTATTTTATGCAAAGTGAATATTCATATCTAAGTGGATACCTAACAGATTGATTGAATGAATGAATAACAATGAATACCTTATAATATCTAACAGATTATCTGATTTAAAGCTGATACTTGGTAGTCAGTAAGTAGTGACCAGGTCATGTTTTTATTTATTTTTAATTTATCATTGTATATTTGAAAGGAGGAGAGAGAAAAAGAGAGGCAGGCAGGTGGGCACACACTGCTGTCTGCTGGCACACTCAGTTCTGGCAATGGACAGGACTGAGCTGGGCTGAAGGCGCGAGGTGGGAACTCACTCCTGGTTTCCCAAGTGTGTGGCACAGACCATCTTCGGACTCGGCATCTGCTGCTGCTTCCCAGGGTGTATGGAGAAGCAAGCCGGAACCGAGACTCCTAAGTGGGACGAAGGTGTCCTAACTGGCATCTGAACTCAAAAGCAAGTGTGCGTCCTAAGGGTGGCTTTTTAATACCTTATCATGCGTTAATGTTAGATGTGTCTGAGAATGCTGTATAATTTTAAATGATACCATGCTCTGGAGTGTTACGTAAAACCCCAGTAAAGGCCACGGCCGTGCCTGTACTTTGTTCCAATGTTTGTGAGTGCAGTACAGTGGGAACGGTAAGTAGCTGTAAAGCAGGTCAGATTTTGCTGCTGATTGTATCGGGTCAGGTCAGGTCCTGCCACCAGATGAGTCAGTCTTTACCCAGTGGTTTGGATTTGTGGGTAGATGGTCCTTTTACCTTTTCCATATTTTAAACTTGAGCAGGATTATATTATCCCAGGGGTAGAGTTCTAGCGGCTTAATTGGTTATCTCATTTTCCCAAGCTTTGCTGGATGTTTGATTCTGTTCTTTTCCTCTGAGAGTGAGGAGTATTTGATGAAAGTTTGTACGTTACAGTATGCTTTAACCTTCTTAGGAAGACTACCTGTATCTAGTACGTCAGCGTTGTGTGCCTGTTACTAGGTTATCTTCAAAAATCTTGAAAGTCTGTGTCTATAATGAAAAAAGGTGGCGTTGCTGTATTCCTCCCAAGGAATGCTGAAGGGAGATGTTCATCTCCTCACGTGGGTATGGAGAATTTTCTGTGTCGTTTTGCAGTGTTGCTGTGTGACTGACACGTCTTTTATCCTCTGTATTACTGTGGTAGCATGATAAAAAACATTTGGAGTCTGCGCCTCGGAGTAATTCAGAGCGTGGTAAGAATGCTGGTGGTGTGTGGGGGCTGAGTTTAGGAAGCTAAGAGTCAGTGGATACCTTCTGTATTCTTAAGTCTGAAAAGATTTTTTTATTTTTTAGAGATAATACCACCCCCACATACTCAAAGTATATTAGTTTAGGGTTGGTATTCTCATCTTACGGGTGAGATTACTTAGACCCGGGGGTGGGCAGTGTCCAGTGGGTTAAGCTGCTGCCTGGGATACCCACACAGATGAGGATACATCCTGTATCTGTGGGCCAGATCGAGTCTCAGTTGCTCAGCTTCCGATCCGACTTCCTGTGACTGCCTCTTGGGAGGCAGCAGACGATGGCCGAGGTGCTTGAGAGAGGCCGCTGCCACACTTGTGGGAGACCCGCGTGGAGCTGCAGCCTGCCAGGTGGGCACTGGCTCCAGCTCGGGCTTGTCCGGTGGAAGATTCGTATTTTCTCTCTCTCTGTATCCACCTGTGCGTCGCTTTCAAGGAGATGAAAATAAATAAATATTTAAGATCAGAATGCTGATGTGTGGGTAAATGTGCACACAGATAAGTGGGAAGAGTTGAGGTTTGGAACTAGGTCTGTCTTCAAGAGTTCTTCATTTCATTGCCTAACCCGCTTTTTTTTTTTCAAACTAGAAATGGTCATGTCACTTTGAAAGCGTAGGAAATCCCCATGGCTGTTTAACTATTGGCCGGTTAGAATCACAGATGTATCTAGAAGCAGTTGGCGCATGCTTGGGGCTGAGCGTCCCTTGGGGTTGTAACCAGTCGTGTACAGGAGCGCCGTCCTGGCAGCAGGCCCGGTGTTGATCTGACAGCGAGGCGCGTGGCGTTCCTCTCAGCCTCAGCTCCAGGCGTCCCTGGCCGTGCTTCTTGTACTTCGTGAGATGCGGCAAGTTCAGTTGGCTCTTTATAAGCGTGGGTTCTGAAACTCTAGGTTCAAACAACCTCAGATCAAAAATACTAAAAAACAATTGATCTGTACTAAGTAAGCACCCGTTGTTATTCGCAGAACAAAAGGGTACAACAGCCATGTGCCCTGGGTTAGGCAGCGGGCGTTAACTGTTGGATCACTCCTTGGGAAGGTGTGCGTAGGTTCTGAGGAAGTGCTGTGTCATTTTATATAGAGACTCGAGCAGGCATGGATTGGGGTGTCCCTCAGGGAGATACAAGGGCTACCGGATTTACATCGGTCTTTATACACACTACTTGAAGTTCCTTCTGTGTGTTGGAACCCAGTGTTAATGTGCTTAGAATTAATGAACAGTGGCATTATGCAGTACAGCAGTGGGAAACGTGTTTTTGCAGATATTCCATAAGACAAAGGGAGTGATGACCAAAGCACCAAAGCACACATGTTTTGGTTTAAATGTTTTTGTTATTTCTTCCTTGTAAACAGATTAGAACCTATTATAAAATAAATTGAGCACTTATAGCTAGTTAAAATGAAAGAAAAGAGGCTACACCATTCTTAGCATTATGATTGTACTTTGTTGGTCTAACTAGATTTTATTATTCATTCTTTTGGGACAGAAAAATAGGAATCTTCTTAAAACTACAGACAAATAGGGTGGGTTTTGACCCAGTGGTTATGGGAGAGTAGAGGGAGGCATTACTGGACAAGACGGCTGTGTCTGATTTGTAAGTGCTTGCATTCCATACCAGGAATCGAGGCTTCCCGCCAGTGTAGACGCTGGGGGGGGGGCAGCGGTGGTGGCCCAAGGGAGTGGGCTTTTGCTTTTGGACCCTGCCTGTTGGGGCGTTGGGGAGTGAACTAAAGGGTGGGAGTGGGGTCTTGCTTTGAATCTCTGCCTCTCAAAACAAAACAAAAAACAAAAAACAAAAAGATACTAAGAATAGTGTTTGCCACTGCATGATAAGTAAAACTGTATTTCAGGTTTGTTATGATGGGTGAGGGCTGTGGAACAGCCGGAGAAGGAAAAACAGCGTGCTAACATACAGTAAGGCTACTGAAATCCTCTGTTTTTATTTTGTTTTTCAAACCCATTGCTATTGACATTAAAAATTGGGATTGTTAATGCTAATAATGAATATTTTCTCAGTGATTTCTGTTTCTGATAAGAAGGCTTTTACTTTTTTTTTTTTTTTTTGCAGGCAAGTTCAGGTATTTTCATTTTTAGGAAGTTGGTATAGTTTATATATGACAAGGTCTTTTTATGGTGCAACATCACCACCTTGTGGTCTCTTAGAATACTGCCAAACTCAGGTAAACCTAATGTTTTGTTCTGGTGTGAAGCAACAGTTCTACCAGGTTTGTAATTTGCAGTTTATACTATTAATGGGAGTGCGCAGTAGAAGATAAAATGATACCGAGATTGCAAGTTTGTGAAAAACATATTTGAGAGAAATAATGCATAAAAATGAAAACACATTGGTACATTATGGATGGTTTGCTATTCGTGTTTTTATGAAATATGCAGTATTTTTGGTGAGATAATTTTAAGTCTTTAGTGGAATTGTTGTCTGAAAGAGTATTTTCCAAGCTGATCACTTTCATAGGAATATTTTCTATGCCAATTTTCTTAGTTTTTTTTCCTCACTTTTGAAGGGAAAAAAATAAATGTGGCATGGTGGCTCCTTTACCAATCAGGTAAAGTAAGGCCATTTGTGTGGCGGGTTGTTTTTGAGCTTGGATTGGTACAAGTACTAGTGGTAGGCCAGATCTTGGGGAGAGGTAGACACCATGGTTAAGCTTTGTTCTAGCCCTTTTAGAATGTAGTATGCAGTCAGAAAAATAAATATCAACATCACAATGTCAGAAATCGGGTTCTTCCTAAAACGTGTAATTCACTTATACACCCTGAAAGTCCTTAAGGTTCTTGTTTTCCCTCATCTTAACCATTTCTTTTGGAGATTTGCCTTGATTTGCGGGGAGCAGGGTGTATGCACAAAAATAAACATTTAGGAAACCTTGAAGTATCTCTGGAACGCTAGTCTGCCTTGTAAAGTACAAGTCAGTGAGCTTTTCTGGAGCCAGTGTCTTTTAATGGCTTGGTTTTGGTACCTGAATACTATTTGTAGTATTGTGCCTGTAGGAAATTTTTGTATGGTGCTCTAAATACACAGTACTTAAGAGTACGTATTTATTTTTCATTGTTGGAAAGTGGAGGAGAGATAAAGGGAAGGGAGTCAGATGTTCCCATCCTCTGCTTCGCTTCTCAAATGGCTGTGACGGTGGAGCATGGCTTGTCTTGAGCCAGTAACCTGAAGCCCCATCTGGTTCTCCCATGTGGGCGGCATGGGTGTAAGTGCTTGAGCTACCACCTGCTGCCTCCCAAGATCTGCAGTAGCAGAAAGCTGTACTGCCAGGGCAGGATCTAGGATGTGGACCATGTACTCTAATATGGTATGTGGGCATTGCAAATGGATGTAAACACTGCCCCAAATTCCCACCATCTTTCCCTCAACCTTTTTTGGAGGCCAGTTGATATGTAATCTGGAGATTAGCAATATTATGACGTATTTTTCATATTTAGATAGGGCTGGGAGTACCCAAACGCAGTGAGCTTTTCTGTTTGCATACTGTTGCCTGTTTGAGTATTAATAAATCAAATTAGCTTTTGAGTCCTTTATTATTTTTTTTTATTTGAGTGGCAGGATTAGGCGAGAGAGCTTCCATCTGCTGGTTCATTTCTTTAAAAAAATTTTTTTTAAAGGATTTATTTATTTTTGTTAGAAAGGCAGATATATAGAGAGGAGAGACAGGAAGATCCTTGTCCATTGATTCACTCCCCAAGTGACCACCACAGTTGGAGCTGAGCCAATCCAAAGCTAGGAGCCAGGAGCTTCTTCCAGGTCTCCCACATGGGTGCAGGTCTCCCAAGGCTTTGGGTCATCCTCAACTGCTTTCCCAGGCCACAAGCAAGGAGCCGGATGGGAAGTGGGACCACCAGGATTATAACTGACGCCCATATGGGATCCCAGTGTGTGAAAGGCAAGGACCTTAACTACTAGGCTACTGTGCTGGACCCTGCTGGTTCATTTCTTAAATATCTGCATCAGTTGGGATGGGACTGGCCCTGGGACTGGGCCAGGCTTAAGCCAGGAGCTTCTTCTGGATTTCCCATGTGGGTGCAGGGGCGCAAGGACTTGAGCCATCTTCTACTGTTTGCCCAGGCTCATTGGCGGGACACTGGATCAGATGTGGGTGGTGGATCAGAAGTGGAAGAGCTCGGACTCAAAGCAGTGCCCACAAGGGATGCCAATGCTGCCTAACTCATTATTCCACTATACTGTTCCCAGTCCTCTATGTTGGTATTAGATGTTTTTGTATTGAGCATTTCTTCTGGGCTGTAGAGATTAAATCACGCCTGGTGTGTTTTATATGGACTCGGAGCTCAGAAATAGCAGGATATGGTAGGAGAGAGACAATAGGTTTATAGTCTTATCTGTATGAAGTATTCTTTATATTTCAGTTTAATAGGTGCTTTAATGGGTTTGGTTTTTTGTTTGTCTTTAGCTTAGGCACCATAACCATTCTGCAGATTAATTGTAAATCTTCAAGTAACACGTGTGTACTGAATATTTAGAAAGGATGAGACACTGTAGTAGGGGCTAGAATTATGATGAGGAGTGCAGTAAATTGACAGTGGGATAGAGGAGGTGGGGGGAACTTGGTCGCAGTTCTCTGCAGGTACATAGCACTGGTTCAGAATTCAGGAGAGGTGACTGCTGAGCTGAAGGGAAAAGAGAAACTAGGTAGAAGAGCGAGGAAATGACTGTGTGGTCTCTCCGGTACCCAAATCTGCATGAAAACAAAATTGTCAAACCCGCAGCATCATCCTGGGGTGAAGTGACTACAGCCACATTTTGAAAATTGACTATGGATTAGAAATCCATGAAGAGTGAGCTTTGGATAACGAACTCTTCTGGAACTTCTCCAGCTGAATTGTGTTGTGCAGGCGTGAGGGATTCTGTGTATGCGAGTGGATTGGAATGACTAGAACTATTTTAATACCAGTTGGAGTGTGACCCTTTTC